TTGCGTTCATGTTTATGAAATTTGTCCAGACAAACTCTTCTCTTTAGCTTCTTATCATGCTTTTAACTAAGGTGTTATTAGTTTAAACACCACAAGTCGGTGACCGAGTCAGAGTATACTTACTTTCCCTTTGTTATATTTATTGTGCGTATTTATAGCGATTCTGTTTGAGTTTGTGATAGCGACCACTCAAACAAAAGTTTAACACTTACGTACGTTGACTAGTCCCTGTACGGCGTTTTCCCAGTCCCTCTCGGTCAATTCACTTTGGTGACGTATCCGAGGCGAACGGGCGGAAAACGCCTAACATGTTCGCTTGAACCACGTGACCCGAAACGCTTTGGCCGCGCAGTATAATGAGGCCAAGGGACTAAGCAAACACCTACGTATACTATTGAGGAGAGCGTGACACTTTAAGGGTGTAAAAAAGCACTTGATGCTCGATGTGTGATTTTTTCGCTGGTGGTAGTGCGGTCAAGCTTTTTTCTCGGTTTGTTTCGTCAGTTTTTTTGTTCAGTTAAGTATTAAAATCGTTGAGTTTTGTCGTACCGTCGCAACAAAAGAAAACGAAAAACGGTTTCTGTTGATTTGTTTTAGCTTATATAATTATATTCTTGACCGTAATAGAGAGAAGGCTGCAATTAAAACGGAACGAAAGATTTTCATAAAATGGAATCGGTGTAATTTTTTTCAGACCCGTGGAATAGGTAGGAAAACTGCCAAAATAACTGCCTGATATTTTGCATAAGCTGTGATCAGGGAAGAATCCATTACTTGCAAACCTTTTCCTTTTTTTGTCGTCTACCAAAGCAGAATGGAATGGCGAGGTTTTTTCATCAACTTCTGAATTTAACCGCAACCTTTCCTCTATGTTGGTGTTTGGGGTATTATTTTTTTATTGTTGCTCGTTTTAATATTTTCGAACTTTTGTCGCAATTTATTTCATGTTGAACAGTAACGGGTTGCGTGAGAATTTTCATGATAAGGCCTTCTGCAATCATGTTTTAACCAAAACCGGTAAAACACAGTCAAAATATTTTATGTAATAGCTGAAAGATAACTTGCCCGAAACCATCTCTGTTTTTGCCGTATAACTCAAGCAGCTTCAGGGCTAATAGGATCCTGGTAACTTTCTACATGTTAAGATGATACAGCTGATGATATACAGTCGTTCAGTTTTAGCTTTGATTTGCATTGTCGCCAGGATATTTTACTCACCTTTCGACAGAATGTCACTGCGCAAGTAGCTTATTTAAAAATTATAAGGATCTCACTTACTGACCTCATGGCAGCGAATGTCTCAATATTGATCGCCCGGACAATTCTTTATCTAAGAACGTATAACATATTAGGTTATTGTCGAAATCAGAATTTTTTGACGCAGTTTTGACACTTATGTGACAATCATTGCACGCATTCGTGTTATTTGCGTTTTAAGAATAAGAAAACACAGGGTTTACATTCGTTAGTATAGAGAGATCGTGAGCAAGCATCTAATTTATCACTGAGTTTCAGTTTAACTAATTTAAGGTCCGTTCGAAGCAAATCAGGTAAGAGTAAAAAGTCACTTTTCATCCTTTAAAATATTTACCATCAATGAAATCGGAATATTTCATATTATTGACATTATTGCCGAATGATTTCTTTTGTTCTTTGCAAAGTTGCGCAGCCATCGCGCTGAAAACAAAAAAAATGAAGACGGAAAGTCAGTCATAGCTCAATGCTCCTGTATTAATGACAGAGCCACCTTAATCTGTCTCTTCCTAGAAGTTTGGGCTCAGTATCAAAGTTTCCCGTACTCAGTATTTGGTAATTACAGATTAAATCAATTGGTCAACAAAAATGAGATCTTTGTATTATAGAAACATACTTTAACGATTTTAAGCTTGATTGTACGACATGACGGGCACTGCATCAAAAACGTTACCTGTTAAGTTCAGAAAGAGAAAGAAAAAAATTGCTTATTAAACGACCCTGTTTCACTTTTTTTCACGTTCGGGTCCCCTACGTTACCGTCGCCTTCAGTGAGCTTTGTGAGTGGGCTAGATCCTGAGCTGTACAAATGTATAACGAAGGCACAGACTTAACGTTATGTTTGTATTTCTACAGGTTTCACAAAAGGTTGTTGCAGTAACACCATCTCATTCCCGGCCTTTAAATCAAGTGTACATTGTATTTCTGTAGTTGATCTATTCATTTCAACGGGAGATGAAGAACTCGACTCCACGGCCCCCCATATTCTATGGAACAGATGAATATAGAACCATTATCGTTGTTCTTTTGGTTATTGTAATATGCATTGGCTTCTTTGGGAATTTAATGGTCTATAGTGCAATTTCCTACCGGCAAAAACAGAAAAGAACTTCTACTAACTACTTACTTATGAACATAGCAGTTGCTGACCTTCTTGTGGCTGTAATTATCGCCCCGTTACGCTTCGTGGAGATGTACCATGGATGGCCACTTGGAGATTTCCTTTGCAAAACCGTTGCGCCTCTTCAGGACGTTATTGTTTGTGTTTCGGTAGTTACACATACTGTCATTGCCTTGGAGAGATATCGTAGCATAGTTCAGCCGTTTAAGAAGAAGTTATCCGTCAGTCGCACTAAACAAGCTGCTGTAGTCATTTGGCTGTTATGTTACGTCTCTATCTGCCTCCCAATGGCTTTTGTACTAAAAGTAGAAGTCCAGAAAGGTTTTATAATATGCAAGGCTGTATGGTCCTCGTTAGTCCGCCAGCTTTTTGAAGTGTATCTGGTTGTTGTATTTATAGCAACACCTTTAGTTATTCAAACATACACCTACTCACGCGTCGTTAAGGTAGCCAATCGTGAACTGAGAAATGCAACCAACTCAAGCAATCCCAATCTGACTAGAATTGCACTGAGCAAAGTGCGCGTAGTGAAGATGCTTATTCTGCTTGTTGGTGCTTTCCAGCTCTGTTCCATCCCTCGCATCGTCACCATGATAATGACTGAGTTCGGTGGTCCCGCCTTAACAAACGACGTAAATTTCCAATATGCTATAACAATAACTCTAGTTATTTACTACCTGAAACATGTTATCAACCCGTTTATCATCTTTGCCACGAGTGCGGAATTTCGCGCCAGTTGCGGTTACTGTTTGACTTGCGGCAGAACTTGAATAACCACATGATCAGGCTCATCAACCGCTTACTTACAGTTGCCGACAAAATAAGAATTAAAGAGGCGGTGTCCTTAATTTGCTTGGTTGTCTCGCAACAGGAAGAAACAAGATGAAGCCGGAAACCTAACTTATGTGAGGGCATTGTCTCTTAGTTTCACTGAAAAAATGTGAAAGTCATTTATGTAAACGACGCCCTTCGTGTTAAAGAACAGTTGCTTGTTCTGACATTACTTAAACTTTAGTCTAGGATTCCCCTTTAAAAGTAAGACAATTCAATTTGTAACATAAACGTAAATCCAGCATTATTTACCGTGACAACGCATTTTTTGCGCATAGACAACACACGATGTACGCACTATTTACACCCCATGTATGCACAAGGAACGCACCGTACGTGAACCACACGCGCATCACTATGACACTAATTACGCCCTTAACTCATCATAAACGCACCTTTTGCGAACGATTGTTGGCTGTTTGCGTGTCTTGTACTTACTATATAGGCGCCATTTTAAGATCCTTTTGTATGCCCGCTTACTGATAGCTTGTGTTTGTTCCATATGCGCACCCCTTGCTACTGTTTCATACCAATCTTGCGCCATTTGTGCGCTTCATTTTAAATCGCTTTGCAAACGAGCGTGCGCTGTTTTGTGTCGTTTGTAGTCCGGCTATACTAACGCTGGGCTATCTGTGGACCGTGCTTGGAATTTCTCTTCCCTGTATGCTCGTAGCCGTAGTAATATTTGTTTTTCGTGTCGTTTATTTTGCTGAAATCTTCTCCTTTTCAAGGCCGCTTGTGCACATTAGACTGCTGTAACACTAAATGGGTCGGTTATTTAAACGAAGTCTAACTTAGACCCCGGTTTTGAAAATCTTCTGACCTACAGATTTCGTCCTGTGTGGGTTATTTAATAAGATAAATGCTTTTCTAGTCTACGCCTTATACCCTCAAGCAACTTTTCACGATAAATGGTTTTAGGGAAAAAGCGTAAGTGGGAAAACTGAAAATGGGTTAGAAGGCGGTTTTGTTAAACACGGGCAAAACTCCGTTTAAATTACTGGCCCAAAGACTTAACATTTATCCTTCCCGCCGGATTTACCCTGACTCATTTTTTCCAACAAAGCGGGTCTCTGAAGGCTTTATTGATTACACAATAACAGCACCTGAACTGTTACCAAGTAAATATCAAACAGATCGGATATGGAATTGTTACCAGTATAGTGTCACGACAAAGAGGGCGAAAAATTAAATCCCACTATCAATGTCAGTTTGATCGAGACTTAGTCATGTATGTGTTTTAGCGTGAAATATGCACTATTCATCATATACCCCAAGCACATTTTTTTTTTTTTTTTCAGTATATATCACGACAGGCCTCACTTTTAAAATGAGGCCAAATGGAAAACCTTTGAGTTTTACTTGTGTAAAAATTACAAACTTCTAGTTTTCAAATCAAAGATTTCGCACTTACCCTCGTTTTGAAAGAGAGGCTTTGGTCGACCGGAATAACCTATTTAGGACTGACATCAAAAGACAACTATTAATTCAATATCTTGCGGGTTTAGAGTAATGGAGAGAGCATGGGTACCATAATCCTCTCTTGATATTAGTAATCATTTAATCGTTTTAACCACAAGTACATAATGATTAGTAATTGCAATCTTTTTTTCGGCAGATAAGAAAACCAAGTTATTTTTGCTCACTGAATTTCTGATAGCCTTGAGTGATTATCAATTCCTTACAGAAGAGACCGTGAACCGAAGTCAGTCCGACATTATTCACAATTCTGTTGTAGCTATGAAGCTGGAGCTTACGGACGACTTGCTGATTCTTCTTCCCATCCCGGCGCCCCGGGGAACTCCCATATGAAATTGACGAGGGTATGATCGTCTTGCCTAGTGGTAGATATTGCAGATTGTGGTCTCAGTTAAGATTTTCACTAACGACCAGAGAGAGCCAATATTTTTATCGATAAAGTTATTGCTTTGGGTTATGCAAAGAGATACCTAAATGAAAATAATAAATGCCGGCATGCAGGGAAGGAGTATTGTTTCCTTTAGGGGTTTAATCCTAATTTTCACACCAGAATCCCCGTCATTATTAAAAGAGAGTTCCCCGTGGAAAGTGCGCAAGATTATTTGTAGTTTTATTATCATGAATAGTAATGTACTGTCATAGTCCAGGCTGTTAGCTACGGAGCCGCTATTGACAAAGTGGCGCCCGGCGTCGCCACTAATACCACTTACTTGTGTTTGAGGCGATGCAGTGTTTCTTACGCACTTGTCACTGGAAAATGTCTTGTAAATACCTGATACTGTAATTCTTGTTGTCTTCGCTCTTTTTTGTATGCTTAAAGGAGCTGTGTCACGAAATTCAGCCAAATTAGGAAATTACAAAATGCCCGTTAAATTAAGAGAAGTATAAAAATAACCGCTTAAAACTTTAAAAGAAGGTTAAAACAACATAACAGAAACAACAGATGCCACGGATGGGCAAAACTGAAGAAGATTGAAACGGATTGAAATTGCGGTTTTTGAAAACTGTTCACTGAGCCTAACAGTTTTTCAAACTTGGTCCCTGCTGATTGCCACTTCAAAAATAATGCTCAGGAGACATATTTGTTTGTCTCGGATCTCTGATTTTGTCATTTACATGTAATTTCTTTGCTTACTTTAAGTTCCATAGCGATTGAGGGCGAGTAATTGGCAAAATTAAACAAAATGCGCTGGACTGCCGTGACACAGCCTCTTCAATAAAAATGCAGGTATTTAGAAATAAAAAAATTCCAAATGCCCCATGTTCCCCNTCAAAAATAATGCTCAGGAGACATATTTGTTTGTCTCGGATCTCTGATTTTGTCATTTACATGTAATTTCTTTGCTTACTTTAAGTTCCATAGCGATTGAGGGCGAGTAATTGGCAAAATTAAACAAAATGCGCTGGACTGCCGTGACACAGCCTCTTCAATAAAAATGCAGGTATTTAGAAATAAAAAAATTCCAAATGCCCCATGTTCCCCAGGGGTAAGTGTTTGGGGTTTCCAATGACGAGTGCATGTAATAGCCATTCCTGTTTGCAGATCCCACATACTTGGCTGCACCCATGCATGTCTACACGTCAGTCTCTATACTTGTACGTTCTCTACGTCCTGGTGAATTATCACTCAACATCTGCAATTCCTTCTGGTCTTTTTTTGAATCCCGAGAAACGGAATGCTTAATGCTTGAGACAAAATCCAGTGGTTTTTTGTGGCAGAAATCGCGAGAAAGAAAGCAGTTCTTTCGAAAGTCAGAGCTCATAGCAAACAGAATAAAGGGATTTAAGACGTGTTTTAAATAGTTGAGAACGATTGTGACTGTCGCAGCGACAAATAGGCTCTCTTGGTATTCGTTTTTGAAGTTTACACTGGTAAATTCCTTGAACAGCATATAAATTCCACGCGGAATAAAGCACACTTGAAATACAACAACGAGAATAATCAGCATTCTAACCAAACGTGCTTTTTTCCGGATTTGATTTCTCCTCTGCTCGACAGTTCCGCTTCTTGAAATTGTCTGGGTCGACTTGTCTTCCTTTCTTATCGCGGTAACAATCTTGATGTAAGTCGAAGTTTGAATAACCAATGGAAAAAACATGAAAGTCGCCACAAGGTGAACAAAGAAAACTTGACGGAATGTCAGAGAAGGGAATTCAGCGACACAATGTTTATTTCCCTTCCTCTCTACCTCTTTCAAAACTAACGCCAGCGGTAATCCGATGAGTACATAGCATGCGCAACAGATGGCTGCCATGGCTATCTTGGCTTTTCGAAAAGAAAGTTTAGGCTTGAAAGGTGTCACAATTCCGCGATACCTTTCGAATGCTATCAAAGTGTGCAGGACGACCGAAACACACACGATCACGTCTTGTAATGGCCCAACAAACTGACATAAGAATTCACCCAGAGGCCAGCCATTGAATAGTTCAGCCGTGCGAAGGGGAGTTAGAACAATGGCTACCAACAGATCTGCTATAGCAATGTTCATCAAGAAGAAATTGCATGGGGTCCACATGCTTCGCTTTCCTCGTATTGTTACGATAACCATGGTGTTGCCAATCAGCCCGGTTATAATAACAAAGGCCAGAACAACGGTGAGAATCGCATAAAAGATGTCGTTATTGGTGGAACTTGGTGCGGTTTGACTTGGCGGGAATTCAGTTGTGGTGTCATTTGTTAAGACTGTCATCGCGGTAGCGTTTCTCATTGGTGGGAACGTGGTGGCATTTGCTACAATTGTCATCGTTGAAGTGTTTCCAATCGGTGGAAATGTAGTGACGTTTGCTTTTAGCGGGAACAAAGCACGGTGTTTTATCAGCGAGGGTCGGGTGCTGTTTTCCATTAATGGGATATAGTGGATTTAGTCCAATGGTGAAGACTCTCCGTTATACTATCAACGTTTGAAACTCTTGATAATGAGCTAATTGCCTTTGTCACCACGTCGCCAAATAGCTTGTTTCGGCTAAAACACCGAGTTCACAAGGCGCATGACAGTTTCCACCTCTTTTAATACCTGTAAGTAGCAAAAACAAAGGAAGTCAGCAATAGGCCGTTCTCAAGATGACAACATTTGACTACAACTACCAGAATTCATTTCCTTTGTGCTTTCTTATTTGAATTTCTCAATCCTGCTGAAGTTTAAAGAACAATAGTCCTAATTTGCACCAGAAAACAACAAACTGAAGGATGCTGGGAGTTGTAGCAAAAAGACATCATGATCATGCAATTGTCCTATTAGAGATGTCATTTGAACCAATAGACGGATTAGTGGGGGAGGGGTGGGGCGGTGAGTTCCTTCCCCCTGATTTTAGTATAAATTATTTTAATAAAGAAAAAGGATATCATGCCCTCTCTCTTATTAGCACCGTATGAAAACCCTACTCAAAACTTGATTGTAAGCTGATTTTCAAACTTATTCTTAAAATTTTCGAGAGTAGATGCTGATAACTAGTAACATGGCCTAAGATCGCAACATTGTGTTTATAGAGATGCACTTAATTTAGTTTTGAAAACCTTTCAGTGCAACTGTGTCATAGCACATGACACCAAAACTAAATAATGACTCTTCACTTACTACCTGCCGGTGGTTACTGCGGTTTTCCTCAGTCTTCCGGCCGGCACTTTTCCATTTGTTTTGTTACATATTTTTTGCCTTGCACTAATGCCATGGCACAAGCAAACGACTCTCAGTGCTACTTACGAAGACAAAAATGATTACAAAAAACAAAGCGGATCTGACGCGTTTGAGCCATAAAATTTGGTTTCAAAACAAAGACCAACTGCGACAATGGAGAGTAGAATGGACTAAAAATTATAAGCAGTTGGATAGCTGCCTAACCATCAAGTTAGTACGATGATGTTAAAGCAGCTGGATGAAGTGTAGCAGCACCCCGTTCTTATACTCAGGTAATTATCCATGTCTCATCCTACTTTAAGATAATCAGCATGATAAGCTGCTCACGACATTTAGATTTAAGATACTCGTGACTTTATTCAACTGGGCTGTTAGGCCTCCCCAAATAGTTGAAGTATGGCGCGGGAATAGCTGGAAGGTAATTGCTGGGACAAGATTGAAATATCTCGCCTGTCCTTTTTCCGAACTTCAGAGACACAAGAGGCGATTTCGAGAGAGAAGCGTACTATGAAATTGATTAGATTTTCTTTTGCGACAAAACGTTAGTTTTTGTTTTGATCTACTGACTCCTGTACACGTCATTGTGGCAAAAATCAAGGGGCATTACAATACAGGCTTGATAATCGCTCAGAGATACCATCAGTTTTAAATCTGTTTCCGTGAAAACAACGGCAAAAAAACTGTGACTTTGGCGGCAAAGAAAAATTGAAACCATAAAGGTTACTTTCCGGTAATTTAGCGATTAGGTTTTCGGGTGTTAAAAACGGCAATAACTTCAGTATATTAATGGTAAGTATGAATTGAATGTATTGGACGGATTATTCCTGATAAGTTACCAGCGCAGCCATAGATCTATTATCAACATCGTTTTTTTTTTTCATACTGCGACATTCTGGCATCGCGTAAATCAATCATCTGCTTTCTCGGTAGGTTACAATTTCTTGCCACTTTGCATCGCACTTTAGGTGGAAGTCATAATCGCATTAGGATTCTTAGTACTGAAGAATGAAGTCTAGAATCTGATTTGTCTGATTTGAATAACGCACCAACTGTTAAACCAAAATAGTTACCAAAACTTCAGAGACCAAAACTACCAATCCCAAACTTCTCTCTAGACCGCTCTCAGAGCATATTCTGCAGCCTATATATGCCACACAGCAATACTGCTACATAGTAATCAACAAGAGACCAATATCTTGACCACTAAAGTTCAGTTTAACATTTCAAAGTTCGTTTAAACGGCGGAAAATAAATCAACGATAGCCAGATGGACGGAAGTTTGATATTCATTTAAGCAAATATATCAGTAAGGTAACATTTTTGCAAGCGGTGTCAGTTATGTTTATGGCTATAAAGCGATTCAGGGGAGGACATTGCTCTCGCTCATGGTCAAGCTTCTCCTATATAATCGCTTTAAAGCCAAAGCGGAAAGTTTTATACACAATGAAGGTAAAGATATAAACTCATATTCATACTATTCGCGCTCTTAAACAAGGCAAAAAAGATTTATTAAATATTCGGCAATCAGGATTCTGTTTTGCTCAGTCAAAATAGGCGTGTTAGTGTAGGAGCCAAGTCGAGCCAAGTAAGGACATACAAATCATTATCTACAAAGTGCCGTATCTGATGAAATGGGTTCTGTCGGCGACAAGCTATTGCCATCCTAATGTAACTACTTAAAGAATTTTCTCCACTCAAAGACATCACAGTAATAATTTTAGATTATCTATAACGTACCTTTTCGTCTTAATTTCTTTCCGATTAACTTCGCCTCGAGCGCCAACTTTTCTTAGTCATGAATCCCTGAGTTCACCTCTTTTTCTGGGCTTGACAGCTTCAAGTATTCCCTTTTAAGTGAAAAGGAAGAAAAAAATCTTGTATTTATTGCCAATGGACATCTGGAAATAACTTCAATTATGCACAATGTCGATATTGAGCATCTAAAATTAATATGATTACGTAAAGTGAAAAGTGAAGCAAAAAAGTTTCAACATCCTTCATAAAAGCACGGAACATTACCAAATGTATAGCTGGACAAGAGAAATTTCTTTATAGAACAAAATAATAAATATGCCACATTCAAATTTCAGAAGACTTTTTTTGTGCTGATAAACTTTCTAATGATAACTATTATTACGAACTTATTAACTTTTCATGTGATTTCCAATAACAAAGGCTTAGTACTTGTGTAGGCTATCTCTTAAATTATGCTGATGCCTTGGCACTATAAAGATATTATAAGCCGAGTCCAAATATTTGCAGTACTAAGAAAGACATTAAGTTAGGACCTGTTAATCAGTATTTTCATCGCACTAACCGTTTCCATATTTATTTCAAGGCTCTGTCTGTTTAAGGAATATTATCCCGACCTAGCTACTTTAAGGGCTTATTTTCTACAAAAAGAAAATAATTCAACCAACCAAACGGCGCAAGATATTTTGCAGACTGAATCTGCAAGCAGACACTAGTTTTGCGAAATAAAGTTCAATGATATTTAAAATTAAACGTCGATGATGGTATTTCGAGTACTTTCTGTAAGTCAGACTTAAGTGAGCCCTGCGGTTTTTAAGTATGTTTAGGGTGATCATGGTGATTTAAGTCATAAAAACAGGAAACATACAATACTACAAGTAGAAAATGAAATACTAACAAACTTGTTACACAGACTCTCAGTTCAATTGCTCAGTTAGTACACAAAAACATGACATGCAAACCAATTGATAAAAAGGGCAAAAAGCCTACTATTGTATTGGTAAGGGAGTGTTTAGCGTTAAAAGCTTTTGCATCCGCATTTTACAAAAATAACACTTACGTTACATTTGAACAAAAATACAATATATCCACTAAATGAATTAACGAATTTAGAAAAGGATATTGAAAAATTTGCCCTGAAAAAGACAATTTTCAAATGTGGAAAATTATAAATTTCTTTAATCTTTTTTTTTTTTACTCAAAGAGTATTTTCTGAATGGCAATAAAAGTATGTTTCGGGTTCTTAGCTGTTTAATAACCAGTATATACACCTATATCATTATGTGGTTTTATCAACAGAGGGTATACACCTCTTCACAGAGAGGAAAAACAAAAGTATCATTGACATTTAGCATATAGATTTCACGAAGGAAAGTAAATTTATTAAAGACTTACTTAACTGAATTTCAATCTTATTTGAGCAAACAATATTATAAGGAAGGGAATCCGTAATTCACTTATGTAGCTGTGCCGTTTTGCCACTAAGCCATCACTTCTACAAAAACTCATTACATTTTCAGGACTGATTTTAGCTCGGTTTCTCTTAAAATTCAGACAAATGCCAAAAATTTCTTCATCATAGAATTGTGGAAGCAATGTATTTTCATTTACATACAGTAGTTTTTCGTTGACGATTTAAAAAATCCCCGGCAGCTGGAGTACGAGCATTGCGCGATAGCTTTTTTTCTCCAGGAGTGATAAATAAAATTTCTAACTCTGCAGGCGGAAACCTTCTATTCAGCCACGCACTGAATCAGATCAACAAAAAACGTCGGTCTGATTTGACGTAATTCTCCCATTAGTACATTAACTAAAACTCACTTTTCAGAAAAACCTAATCACACTTCTTTTGAGGTCATTCTTAGTTTATATCTCAAAACGCCGCAAAACGTGGCACACACTTCCCCCAAAATGTGACGTACACGCCTACGAATTCATCCGGTTTTTTCGGCTCTAGTTTCAACCGCAGGGAGAGAAGCGACTACCGGAAATACGTCTGCGGTTCGCAGGCTAGGCATGTACTGAAATGACAACAACTATAAAGAGAACCCAGCATCGTCACAACAAAGCCGTCATCGACCACAAAGGAAGTATTATTATTTATTAAACAAATTTCTCCGTTTCTGGATTGGTTCAAATCCACCGTCTAATTCTTCAAAGCCACCTAGTGTTGAGCAAATTTGGAAGAAGTTTGCGATATTGAATGCTATCGATGACGTCAAATGTTTACCAAATATCGACAGAAAAAGAGCCGGCAAACCGAGAAGCCCCTGAAGNAAATACGTCTGCGGTTCGCAGGCTAGGCATGTACTGAAATGACAACAACTATAAAGAGAACCCAGCATCGTCACAACAAAGCCGTCATCGACCACAAAGGAAGTATTATTATTTATTAAACAAATTTCTCCGTTTCTGGATTGGTTCAAATCCACCGTCTAATTCTTCAAGGCCACCTAGTGTTGAGCAAATTTGGAAGAAGTTTGCGATATTGAATGCTATCGATGACGTCAAACGTTTACCAAATATCGACAGAAAAAGAGCCGGCAAACCGAGAAGCCCCTGAAGACGAGGTTGGGCGCCGGAGCTCAACTGTTTTGGTAGAGCTAAAAAGACAGCCGAAAATTTCACTCGCTTTGCCTAAAAACATAACAAGAACAGTAAAATAAAACCTTGAAGGATCAGAGAACTGCTGTTTGAACGGAATATCTGCTAGACTTTATATCCTGAAATTGCCGAGAGAGTCAGGGAAAGAATGAGGGCAGGAAATTGATACGGGTGAAAAGGCCACCCCCCGTGTTCAAATGGTGTGCAAGAAAATCACTGACAGCTTTTCTGATACTTTTACCTCCGAAACGGGCACTTACGACAAATCTTGGTTTGATTAGCCGCTGAAATTTAGAAAGTCATAAAGTTTTTGTCGGCTTTACAGGTAGTTTATAACGTAGGGATCATCACGCAATCTGTGACTAAGAAAGGGGCAACGCAAAGAATAAAAATATCGGTAATGAATAAACTCATTGCCCTTGGCTACTGTTTCAGTGTTTCAATGTAAAAAAAATAAGCTTCTTTGTTTCGTATGAACTTCCTGCACTTACACAGGGATATGATGAGGGATATTTATCATATTTATATGTGTTGTATTAACTAATTTAGTAAAATGTTCCTATAATCAGTACTTTTTTAAAATATAAATTTCTTGCACCCACATCCAAACCCTCATGAAATCCGCCGTTTTTACACCTATGTCCGAAAATGCAGTCAATTTTTTCGCCGATAACTTAGAGTTCTTCCCAAACAACCAATTATTTAAAAATGAAAAAAAAATAAAGGTAGATTAGTAATATATGTTTTTTTTAAGTAAAACTTATGTTGACTGGGTTTTAACATGCGTAGATATTATGTAACTTGTTCAAAATTAGGTTTGAGTTTTCATTTCACAGGATTTTATGTGTTCAAGTGGTTCAAAGAAAACTTCAATAAAGAAGCTAAGAAATTAAGGTTTATATAGTATAATCGGGGAAAAATCCAGTCTCGGACGATCTAATGTGATTTCGTTATGACGAAACTGAGTGTCGTTGTTGACTGTACTTACGTTGGATTCTTGGTCCTATATTAGTGTATTTTATTTTATTGCTGATCGTATCGATATTTTAAGAACCACATTTTTAAGAAAAAGGACACAGATCTTGATTTATTGCCAAACAACTAAGTGGAACGATTAATTTTACAAAACATAAACAATCAGTTATGAAATGGAATTAAATTACACGTTCTTACCTTTTTAAATGGCTCATATGAGAATTTCTTGGTTATAACTTAAGTGAAAAGTAATCTTCGTAGGAGTGTAGCTCTGCTTCTGTTTTCGCTACACAAGGGGAAAATCCAGAGCGAATCTCTTGGAAGGACAATTTGCATGAAAGTCAGTTTTACGACGCATAACAATTAAAACAACTCACACCTTTTGAAATTGAGAAATCAGCGATTGTTTTGTTTTCAAATTAGTTTTTATTCTGTTTTGTGAGAAATATTAGAAATATAGTGCCCCGACCAGCTGTGTACCGCGGTGCAAATTTAATTTAAAGTCGCATTCGCATCTCATTGTTTTAAAAATGAGTGATTTGCTTTGCTGGAGAAAGCGTTGACTTGGAGAATCTTGATTCTCTCGGATATGTTTCCTATTTCAAGTGATAATTCTGGAATTAAACGGTGCTGAGTCACATTTCTGTTCCCAGGTAATTCAAAAAAATGTTAACAGATAGAAAAAACGCGGTAATTTGCATTGTTCATATCCGACGCATTGGCGCCGCATAAAATATTTTTGAGTAATTTTCCATTGTCACTATTAAAAAATTCGCAACCAAAAGACACAAATTCACTCCTAATTTGTAGAATAGAATCTTCATTTCAGTTTTATGGACAATTGAAAGATCGCTCAATGCGGGTTGTGTGTTCAGAGCACAGACTTTGCGGGGGAGTAACGCACTTTATAGCTACTTTTAATTGATGAATATGTATGAATCAAGTGCATACTCAAATTCTCACGAAAGGAATTGAGTAGTTTACAAGCTCAAAGCCATTAATTCGCGAATTTATATCCATCGAATCCGCAGATTCCGAGGCCCCCCAAAATTGAATTCTTAGCGTTCATCCGGAAAAGACAAAAAAGCCTAATCAGGAACTTTACAGCTACCTTAACTCGATAATATGTCGGATAAGAATTTTAGCAAACAGTAATTCTGAAATACAGTGGAACCTCGTTAATACTGTCACCAATTCGCCAAAAAAAATTTGGCCTTATTAACGGGTGACCGCATCAACGAGGGTTTTTACTGGCATTGCTGGGCGGCCCAAAAAAAGTGGCCGTAATAACAAGGTGACTGTATTACCGAGGTGGCCCTAAGGCGGGGTTTCACTGTAAGTCTTTAGCAGAAAAGTTCAAGAATTGGGGTCAAGAGAGCCAGTGAAATACGGTTTTGTCCAACATTTGTTGGTCAAAAAAATTTTAGAACTCGTGTTCAAGAATATATGCATCATGCCATGTTGCATGTTATACTTCGACATATCGGATACATCTGTTGTGAACGAGAATAGAGATTTGGATGATTTGTTAAACATCTCAACATTGCTCACCGGTCGTTCAGCAGCAAAGAACCGACTAAGTCACTGCATGGCTTGAAACATATCGCAAATAATATTTTCTTTTCAACTTACCTTCGCTCCTATCAGTGCAATCTTTTGAACTTCCTGGTGTTTTCATTTTATGACCTTGACATCTAAGAATTTTTTTACCTATTACTTAATGCGTTGATGTCAATCAAATCCTTGTAAAAGGGCAATTTGAAACGACAATATTTTCGTGCCACAGGTAGCGTTACTAGGCCATGTACATTATGCTTACATTTTTTGTGAGCATTTTAGTGAGACAAAAGCATTGAGCATTATTCGGGCATTTGAGTGGCATTTTTCCGGAAAATCAGGTTTTGCTCTCACAGAAAATAAAAATTGAATCATTTTTGAAGAGATATGACGACTTTAAAAATAATTCTAAAAACTATATTCAAATTTCACCTTTATACAGCTATGTAGATGATCATTTTGCTATACTGAAAGTATTTATTTGTATACATTGTTGTCATACCACGTATACATTTTTGTTAGCCTCAAACCCCCTTAAAATGTTTAGAATTAATAAAAAAAGGAGATAAATGTAGGTTTCTGGGAAACTGTCCACCTACCCCTCCCCTAAGCCATCATTTTGCCCTAAATGAGAAGTAAGTTTTAATGTAAGCTTAGGGGAGGGGTAGGTGGGCAGTTTCCTAGAAGCATAAATTGATCCAAAAAAGGCCTCTCTATGATGAGCGTTATTGAGAATTTTAGTGACTTTTTGGTGGACTACGGGAAAATGGAGCATTAAGGTTGAGCATTTTCATGGGAAAACAAAAGCATAACTAAGCGTTTCGCGTGCATGCGCACCATATAACAATGTTACAAAAAGCAAAGGTCGCAAATTTCGCCCCACGATCTTCCATCGTTTTCCCCGCGTACGCCGATTTATCTAACTCCCCACCATCTTGGAACTCCTGGATAGATAATCAGTTCTTAAACGGATATAAGAGCCTCATAAATATTGTTCCGTCGTTTGTAGGAGTTAACAAATTGCGCACGGCGTAGCTTTCTCAAGCGTCACTTGTAAAAATAAAATAGCCAGTAACCAAAAAACGATATATACCAAAGGCGTTGTTTTACGATCAAAACGTTAATCAAACCTGAAGTTTTTTTTATGCCTTCTGCTAGAGCCAAGCCACTTGCTCTTTAAAATTTGCATGCTTTGTCTTTTTAACATACAACCGCATTTTAATGAATAATACCTTTTTGGCAAAAATGAAATTTAAATTGGCCCAAAAGATTTATAGTGCGAAGTGTTGAAAAAAGAAAAGGAATATATATTACCAACTTTATATAACAAAGAAAATCAAATAAAGCCATTTTTTTAATGAAAATGCAAAATATTAAGAAACCATACTGTGAAAAAGAAATGGTACCAGTAATGGACCATAATGATATTAACTTTGTTGGTTAACTTTTGATTACGTGCTTCTTGTTTTCGTGTACGTTATAAGAGAGCTCCCAATAAATTTTCCTCTTACTTCCTGCAATATTTTCAATTTCCTGCCTTTTTAAAATGAAATTTTTACAATGAACAATTGCCACCGTATGTATCTTTTTCTGAATAACTTGAACTCAGATATACACATGAGCGATACATCATGCAAGGCTAGCTTATATGAAACACGGCTTTATTAGACCAGAAATCAAGACTTTCTTGTATGAACTACACCCAAACTGATCAGTTTGTCTGGCAGACTCTTGGCTCAGAGAATAAAATCAACTGAAAACGTTTGCTCGGAGAATTTTCTCTGCCCCCCGACCCCTTCCCCCACCCCTTCTAGATATATCCTACTTCCTTTTTTATTCTAGAGTAAAATATTATCTTCATATACAATTTAGAAACCTAGGGCTGTTTTTGGCGGGCTAACAGACCGGATGTATATCGCAAACCAGACTCTTCACTACCTCATGAATTTTAGCTTTATCGCTTAATCGGCGGAAGAAATTGTGTATTAAATGAAATCAAACCATCACTGTCCAGTTAAAATACGAAAATGCACCACAAGCCATACCTAATTATCTCTTCATTTTTCATGACCTTTCAGTTTCTACCACAAGAAAATCGACTTGGATTCATGTAGCTGCGCGCCAAGAGAAAATAAAATAACATGTAAAAAGGCGGATTACATCAAATCCTTCTGTTTGTGTTCGAGACATAAAATATTTAACAACTGCAGATGTGATCAAAACTTTTCCTTGTCAGATACCCAAAGCAAAAAAGGAAAAAAACCTACTCGTGTTTTGGTCAACATGAACCGCACCCTGTTAGAACGTAAGAGTGTACCCGAGCAAAAATCAGCTTTGATTCACTTACTAAAAAATGAAACGAATATCAATCATTGTTGCAAATGGCTACCCTAAATGCAGGCTTGTGTTTTATAAAAGACCAGAAAATGCAAACAGAATAACTTGGCCGAAAAGTTTTAATAGTGTCAATCAGTAGTTGTTGTGTTCAGCATGCGTCATTTCTTGCATTGTACCTGTCGTGAATCCCCCCCGTTTAAACACCACGTTGCATAGAAAACGCTGAAACCTAAGCTTAACATTTTTTTTTTCTCCAAATGTACCTGAGGTTTTTCGCAGCTCAGGTAACCTTTCCACCCTTAAGCAAAACCAGCAATGATCTAGATCAGAACTCTGGACACAATACGTTGTGGCAACATGGCGGATAAGGGCCCTCCCAGTTGAATAAGTCAAGAAGAAACACAACTTCACGCAATTTGCAACACTTACGATTCTACCCTGAAAGTTAATTCGAATATTTCGTTTTAGAATGTACAATAAAGGTGAAAAGGCAAAGATTGTACAGTCATACAAACGAAAATAAACAAAAAAACCGAGTTTTTAGAACATTAAATACCAAAACTTACAGTTTTTGCGGTTGAGATTTCTTTCCTCTATTCTTTAGATTGAAGAAGGCAAGTAAAAATGATTGTTTGTCACTGACTCAGATAAATGTAAATCCTTTCTGTCCACTAAAATGCCGCTCTCAATTTTGATGATGCAAGTTTTTTTATACAGGTTAAATCGGACGCGCTTGAAGCAGAAAACTTCTTGGAAAATGTTAAAACGCAATCGAAGCAAGTACCCAACCGCGAATAATTGAATTTTGTCACTATACAGGTGCTCTGTTTAGGGCTTTTGATGACCTCTGATTAAATTCGGTTGAGATTGAATTGGATGATATGTTAACACTCCGAAGGGCTTACCTCAAATTGTATTAAGGTGCAAACATTGTATTAAAATTGGCCGCTCCGAGTTTATTTTCATCTGGAGAAATCGTTTTGACTTGAACCTTCAAGGGTTCAATCGCGGTTTCACCAGGTGTCTATGTCGACCGCAAGAGTAGCGAAATCAATTTTCACTAGATTTCACTCAAACGTCGTGCTGGGTTTATTATATTGTAAAAAAATTGTTTGCTCTTCTATCTTTTTCGCTGTTTCTGAAATTTGTCGAAGGCAGCTGGGTGGTCAACAGTAAATTAGTTTATAATAAAAGTACACGATGACTCGCTGTTGTTCTTGTTCTACAGGGGTGCGCACCAAAACAAATATAATGTTTTCGTTATATGAGAAACGCCTTGTTCTCTATCTGCCAACAAACAAGATGTCCTATGGAAAACCCGTGGTGAATAATTTTTAAAAGCTAATAGACTTGAATACAATATAAAAATTAAAAAATTCAAATATGACAATCAAAATATATCGTGGGAAGTGACATTCAGTGATGAAAACAAACATTTAAATGAAATTATTTCCCATGGTTAAAAAAACTGTGCATGAACAAGCAAATGATATACTGCATGTACTAACATGACATTACAGTAAATGAAAAAGAAATATTCATAGTTTAGACGCCAAGAATATCCCAAATAAGTCGCGACAGTTTTCTTTTAAAACAATGCTACCATTAAGATGTTACCAGCACTCATCTAATATCAAGTAGTTCTTAAAAACTTAAGGTTTGTTTAGAAAAAAACAATCGCTTCTTTGGGGAGACAAATTGTCCAAGAACGCTGCAAGAGACTGAAGCTATTCATTTTATTTAACTACATGTGTAGTGCGTTGTTGTAAAAACCATGTCACGAACACGTGTATTTCTCTCGGTAAGCATTAATGCTTTCTTTACAGCAGCCGGAATTTTTCTATGAAACATTGCATCCACGAGTTCCCCATAGTTTACTTTGATTAATTTCCCTAGCCTGCGTGCAAGCTCTCGGGGGACAGAGGCCCTTTTCTCTTCCGTCCTTCCCTTCTGAGTTCGGCTCACATTGATCTCCTATCGGCATGCACAGAGACTTCTGTTACCTTAATTTGCATACTGCATACTATTGCGCCCAATGAACATCACCGAAAACTAAAATGGCAGTACGCCCCTCCCAACTAATTCTCTGATTTCTTGCAGAATACTTGCGAACACGTATAATAGAGGTTCGCATCCACACAACGTTTTAATTTCTGCCACATTACTGTTCCCTAGTCAGCACTATGACGCTGGACGCGCATGGCCGCTCTACTTGAAAACGCTGCAACGCTCATCTGTCAGCCGGGATAGATGCTGAAATAACAATTGTTCCAGTGGTTCTAGCGGTCAGGGTGGAACGAAGAGCACATGGTAAACGAAAATTTTGGCCTTCTTCAATGATCGATGATACAGTCAGTGTTATAGCACGACGCGGCAGTGATACTCGGCTACGTTCAAAAGCATTAAATATTAAGAACAAGCAATCATCCTAGAAACCACATAAAAACGCCCCATCACGACCATTTTAACTGCCATATTGGTCTCACGTGTTATAAAGACAGTTTTCTAACGTGACGAACTCGAGGAGAGGACCCTGGAAACGAGTTTGTCCAAAACTTAAACTACGAAATTGCTGGGTGGCAAAATCTTAGATGAGCTTATATATTTTTTGTTAAATTTCGGGTTTTTAAAAGAGACTATCTCCAAAACTACACTGTTTTTGGAGATCAAATTACGGCTACAGAGCTGTTATTATAGCTTTGTGGAATGATAAGCGTATGTTGATAAGGCAAAAACTGTCAACAATAATTCGCTAAAGCAGATGGTTCTGGTGTAGACGCACGGCTAATCACCAACAGAACTGTGTTACGCGTCGATATACTAGTGTGAACGGGGTGGTTTAAACTGATGTGATGGGTAAGAAAAGCTAAGAAAGGACAATAGTGCATGACCTTTCCGAACGGAAGAAAACTTTTCCAAATTACATGCTTAAAGATTTCAAACTAAACTGGTTCCAGCTTTGTGACTTTTCTTATAAATTTCTCACAGGCCTTGATCCAGTCTACTTTGAAGTTCGTGGCCTTTATTTCTTCCTTCTTTCTACTTAGCTCCGAAATCTTTAGATCATCAAGTTAGGTCACATGCAATATGGTCGGTGAAGGCGAGTTTGGTGACATAACCCTTGTAGCCTGTGAGCAAACTCTCCGGGGCGCTCTGGCGACGGGCGGGAAAAGGAAGGAGAAATTTGCAACTGCGTCTCTGGAATTTGAATATCTGCATCGAAAAGTCGATGCGAAATGCTGATTGGCGGAGATGACATAAGTAATGACGTCATTACCCTTGACAATTGTTTTTCAATGTTTGTTTACATCCGCGCTCGTTTTCGCTTCCCCCTGATTTGCGGAAATCTGACAGCTCAGTCGACGGGAAGCCAAAAGGGGAATTGTAGGTGGAATTCAAATTTCGGAGACGTAGTTGCAAGCGGATGTCAGTAAAACGCGGGTTCGGGGTCGGGACCGGGACCAGGGTTAGGGTTAGGGTTAGTGTCAATCCTTACCCTAAAACAGCATTTGAAAAAAAAAAATGACCCGCGAGCTCGCGTTTAATTGACACTCGTTGCAAGCTCTCCTTCCTTTTCCCGTCCCGCCGCCAGAGCGCCCCGGAGAACTTGCTCGCAGGCTAGACTCCATGCTATTGGCTATTTTCGGCACGCGATTAGTTTCACTTAAGACACTAATGGCAACAACATTCAATAAAACCTAAAGCTAACCGCCTAATTTAAATTGGGAAATTAATTAGTGGCAGCTAATTTTAGAGCTTCTCAGTTTCCTTAGACAATCGCGCCGCAATCGTGGACTTTGGCTCACGACGGACTCCAAGAGAAAAAATAGAGTTTGTATTTATTATTTTCTGATACTGAAGATCTTAGTCAACGAGCAAACAATCGATTATCAGGCAACGAAAGTTGATATTTATAGTAAAGGCTTCGGACGCATCATTGGGGATTTCTTCGAGAGTCATAATTTCCAACTACTAAAGCTCAGGATTTGTAAGCTAAAACTACCAGGTTTTTTTTAAGAAAAGTGTGCAAAGACTGGTAGAAATATATTTTGAAACACACCTATTTTAATTTAGACAGTAACGCAGCTAGTGGTAGGGATGCTATATCAGAGTAAACAAATTATGAAAATTAAGGGAAAGTTCATTTAATATGACAAGGGGGGGGATGAAGATATTGAAACTCGAAGCTTGAAATTTTAGCAGCCCCCCGCGCTAGCGGTTCAAGTTTTTAGGAGCCCCCTCCTTGGAAGTCGAAAATAATTCAGAGCCCCCCCCCCCCCCCGCCACCACCGTGCCTCTCTCTGGCGCCCATTTTGGTCAACATGAACCGCACCCTGTTAGAACGTAAGAGTGTACCCGAGCAAAAATCAGCTTTGATTCACTTACTAAAAAATGAAACGAATATCAATCATTGTTGCAAATGGCTACCCTAAATGCAGGCTTGTGTTTTATAAAAGACCAGAAAATGCAAACAGAATAACTTGGCCGAAAAGTTTTAATAGTGTCAATCAGTAGTTGTTGTGTTCAGCATGCGTCATTTCTTGCATTGTACCTGTCGTGAATCCCCCCCGTTTAAACACCACGTTGCATAGAAAACGCTGAAACCTAAGCTTAACATTTTTTTTTTCTCCAAATGTACCTGAGGTTTTTCGCAGCTCAGGTAACCTTTCCACCCTTAAGCAAAACCAGCAATGATCTAGATCAGAACTCTGGACACAATACGTTGTGGCAACATGGCGGATAAGGGCCCTCCCAGTTGAATAAGTCAAGAAGAAACACAACTTCACGCAATTTGCAACACTTACGATTCTACCCTGAAAGTTAATTCGAATATTTCGTTTTAGAATGTACAATAAAGGTGAAAAGGCAAAGATTGTACAGTCATACAAACGAAAATAAACAAAAAAACCGAGTTTTTAGAACATTAAATACCAAAACTTACAGTTTTTGCGGTTGAGATTTCTTTCCTCTATTCTTTAGATTGAAGAAGGCAAGTAAAAATGATTGTTTGTCACTGACTCAGATAAATGTAAATCCTTTCTGTCCACTAAAATGCCGCTCTCAATTTTGATGATGCAAGTTTTTTTATACAGGTTAAATCGGACGCGCTTGAAGCAGAAAACTTCTTGGAAAATGTTAAAACGCAATCGAAGCAAGTACCCAACCGCGAATAATTGAATTTTGTCACTATACAGGTGCTCTGTTTAGGGCTTTTGATGACCTCTGATTAAATTCGGTTGAGATTGAATTGGATGATATGTTAACACTCCGAAGGGCTTACCTCAAATTGTATTAAGGTGCAAACATTGTATTAAAATTGGCCGCTCCGAGTTTATTTTCATCTGGAGAAATCGTTTTGACTTGAACCTTCAAGGGTTCAATCGCGGTTTCACCAGGTGTCTATGTCGACCGCAAGAGTAGCGAAATCAATTTTCACTAGATTTCACTCAAACGTCGTGCTGGGTTTATTATATTGTAAAAAAATTGTTTGCTCTTCTATCTTTTTCGCTGTTTCTGAAATTTGTCGAAGGCAGCTGGGTGGTCAACAGTAAATTAGTTTATAATAAAAGTACACGATGACTCGCTGTTGTCCTTGTTCTACAGGGGCGCGCACCAAAACAAATATAATGTTTTCGTTATATGAGAAACGCCTTGTTCTCTATCTGCCAGCAAACAAGATGTCCTATGGAAAACCCGTGGTGAATAATTTTTTAAAAGCTAATAGACTTGAATACAATATAAAAAATTAAAAAATTCAAATATGACAATCAAAATATATCGTGGGAAGTGACATTCAGTGATGAAAACAAACATTTAAATGAAATTATTTCCCATGGTTAAAAAAACTGTGCATGAACAAGCAAATGATATACTGCATGTACTAACATGACATTACAGTAAATGAAAAAGAAATATTCATAGTTTAGACGCCAAGAATATCCCAAATAAGTCGCGACAGTTTTCTTTTAAAACAATGCTACCATTAAGATGTTACCAGCACTCATCTAATATCAAGTAGTTCTTAAAAACTTAAGGTTTGTTTAGAAAAAAACAATCGCTTCTTTGGGGAGACAAATTGTCCAAGAACGCTGCAAGAGACTGAAGCTATTCATTTTATTTAACTACATGTGTAGTGCGTTGTTGTAAAAACCATGTCACGAACACGTGTATTTCTCTCGGTAAGCATTAATGCTTTCTTTACAGCAGCCGGAATTTTTCTATGAAACATTGCATCCACGAGTTCCCCATAGTTTACTTTGATTAATTTCCCTAGCCTGCGTGCAAGCTCTCGGGGGACAGAGGCCCTTTTCTCTTCCGTCCTTCCCTTCTGAGTTCGGCTCACATTGATCTCCTATCGGCATGCACAGAGACTTCTGTTACCTTAATTTGCATACTGCATACTATTGCGCCCAATGAACATCACCGAAAACTAAAATGGCAGTACGCCCCTCCCAACTAATTCTCTGATTTCTTGCAGAATACTTGCGAACACGTATAATAGAGGTTCGCATCCACACAACGTTTTAATTTCTGCCACATTACTGTTCCCTAGTCAGCACTATGACGCTGGACGCGCATGGCCGCTCTACTTGAAAACGCTGCAACGCTCATCTGTCAGCCGGGATAGATGCTGAAATAACAATTGTTCCAGTGGTTCTAGCGGTCAGGGTGGAACGAAGAGCACATGGTAAACGAAAATTTTGGCCTTCTTCAATGATCGATGATACAGTCAGTGTTATAGCACGACGCGGCAGTGATACTCGGCTACGTTCAAAAGCATTAAATATTAAGAACAAGCAATCATCCTAGAAACCACATAAAAACGCCCCATCACGACCATTTTAACTGCCATATTGGTCTCACGTGTTATAAAGACAGTTTTCTAACGTGACGAACTCGAGGAGAGGACCCTGGAAACGAGTTTGTCCAAAACTTAAACTACGAAATTGCTGGGTGGCAAAATCTTAGATGAGCTTATATATTTTTTGTTAAATTTCGGGTTTTTAAAAGAGACTATCTCCAAAACTACACTGTTTTTGGAGATCAAATTACGGCTACAGAGCTGTTATTATAGCTTTGTGGAATGATAAGCGTATGTTGATAAGGCAAAAACTGTCAACAATAATTCGCTAAAGCAGATGGTTCTGGTGTAGACGCACGGCTAATCACCAACAGAACTGTGTTACGCGTCGATATACTAGTGTGAACGGGGTGGTTTAAACTGATGTGATGGGTAAGAAAAGCTAAGAAAGGACAATAGTGCATGACCTTTCCGAACGGAAGAAAACTTTTCCAAATTACATGCTTAAAGATTTCAAACTAAACTGGTTCCAGCTTTGTGACTTTTCTTATAAATTTCTCACAGGCCTTGATCCAGTCTACTTTGAAGTTCGTGGCCTTTATTTCTTCCTTCTTTCTACTTAGCTCCGAAATCTTTAGATCATCAAGTTAGGTCACATGCAATATGGTCGGTGAAGGCGAGTTTGGTGACATAACCCTTGTAGCCTGTGAGCAAACTCTCCGGGGCGCTCTGGCGACGGGGCGGGAAAAGGAAGGAGAAATTTGCAACTGCGTCTCTGGAATTTGAATATCTGCATCGAAAAGTCGATGCGAAATGCTGATTGGCGGAGATGACATAGGTAATGACGTCATTACCCTTGACAATTGTTTTTCAATGTTTGTTTTCATCCGCGCTCGTTTTCGCTTCCCCCTGATTTGCGGAAATCTGACAGCTCAGTCGACGGGAAGCCACGGGGGAATTGTAGGTGGAATTCAAATTTCGGAGACGTAGTTGCAAGCGGATGTCAGTAAAACGCGGGTTCGGGGTCGGGACCGGGACCAGGGTTAGGGTTAGGGTCAGTGTCAGTCCTTACCCTAAAACAGCATTTGAAAAAAAAAAAAAAAATTGACCCGCGAACTCGCGTTTAATTGACACCCGTTGCAAGCTCTCCTTTCTTTTCCCGCCCCGCCGCCAGAGCGCCCCGGAGAACTTGCTTGCAGGCTAGACTCCATGCTATTGGCTTTTTTCGGCACGCGATTAGTTTCACTTAAGACACTAATGGCAACAACATTCAATAAAACTTAAAGCTAACCGCCTAATTTAATTTGGGAAATTAATTAGTGGCAGCTAATTTTAGAGCTCCTCAGTTTCCTTAGACAATCGCGCCGCAATCGTGGACTTCGGCTCACGACGGACTCAAAGAGAAAAAATAGTGTTTGTATTTATTATTTTCTGATACTGAAGATCTTAGTCAACGAGCAAACAATCGATTATCAGGCAACGAAAGTTGATATTTATAGTAAAGGCTTCGGACGCATCATTGGGGATTTCTTCGGGAGTCATAAGTTCCAACTACTAAAGCTCAGGATTTGTAAGCTAAAACTACCAGGTTTTTTTTTTAAGAAAAGTGTGCAAAGACTGGTAAAAATATATTTTGAAACACTCCTATTTTAATTTAGACAGTAACGCAGCTAGTGGTAGGGATGCTATATCAGAGTAAACAAATTATGAAAATTAAAGCACCCCCGAAGCTCTCCGAAACTTCTGGGGCCTTTGAAAAAACACCTGTTTTTGTTTTTAAGAAAATGCAAAGGGATAAGTTTTTGTGAGCTGTTATTAAAATTGGAAGCAAACATTGCTAAAATTGTTTTGTTTCGCCGAGGCGATAACTCTTTAAAAAGCGCAATTTTAATTTGTTCTCAGATTCATCTTTCTAGACGGGGACCAGGGTCAAAAAGTAAATAATCATTTCAACATTTTGACCGGGCTTTAGTTTAAGTCAATGACTCATTTTTCTAAGCATTCTCATCACTTCGTATTTCGCTCTTGTTTTCTTCCCTACAGCACTATCAGATACAAAACACATTTAGCAAACTTTATGTAATCAGTGCGTAATTTTTGTTTTAACACCAACGGTTCCTCAATGCAAAAAATGCGAGTCAGTTTTTTGTCTGCGCGCATCCTCGCCAAAAAGCGGTGCTATCTTTTGAAACAGATTTTCAAAGAGCTAAACGTTTAATGATGGATTTGGTTTGAATGTCCCTTTGTATCTTTTATCCGTTTTTTTTTTTTTTTTTGAAATATCAACATGTTAATCGACGCTTTCTTTTGTTATTGCTGTTTTAATTGTTTACTTTTTTCCTCTTTCTCTTGGCTCTCGGGCTCTATCTTTTGTTTTCAGTTTGGACACACAAGATGGGCCATTTTAGTTTTACAGCTGAAACATGCGTTACAAATTTCTTATTTTATATATTTATTGATTACTGACAAGTATGTAAAACTACTTCAATTTACTATTCTATGCGATAGTTCTTAAAATATGAAATTAGCACGTTCTTTAGTGCGATCATAACATACGCATGCAAATTATTCTTCATTTATTTTACAAGATCAAAATATATCATAATATTCACATTGGAACAAACTTTCATCAGACAAACTAATTGACTTTGCTTCCTTCAATCCATAATTGTAATCACATCTACTCATCAAACTTCCTAACTTAGGAAATCGTTTATTAGCTTCTTTTTTACAGCTAGACCGTGATAGCTTAATTCTCCTTGAAGAACATTTAAGAGCTACTACAATCAAAACTTCAACGACCAACAAATGTTGCTTCCTACTTGTCTACGAGTGTAAAAACGTTTCTATAAAACGGCTAAGGCAACTGAGTCTAACTTATAATTCATAAATTGTCGACTACATAAAATTATATGTAACATGCAAGTTTTGTTAAGTTTTTTTATCAGACCTACTAAAGCCTTATTAAATAAATGCTCTTTCGTTGGGTTCACGGTGAGTTCATTTGTCACTGATCACGATTGTTAACCGAAAGCCTTCCCGGCTCTTTCAGAGAAATCCTACAGAAGTTGGCTATTCAAATCGGTATCTGAGCTCAATAATTAGCTCATAGATACTTCAGTCTTAATTGCAATATTTGCTACTCATCTTTATCTCGAGTATTCTTAGGAAAAGGGACGATATGATGATACACGGGTATTAAAAAGACTTGTATAAACACATTTTTTGGAGCAAGTTCTTGATCTAAGTCTTTCACTTAGAACTAATGAATAAAAATCACAACATGTCCCGCTCAAATCACAAAAATTAGAGATACAGCAAAGACGATCAGACCCGGTCAGTAAGAATTAAATTAAGTTGTTAAAAAGAGGGGCTGGAAGCAGTTGATTGTTAGAAAACATGCATTAATCACTTTTCTAAAGATTGCAGTCTCCTTTTGTTTTTTACCCGATAGCTTGAGGAACTACGGCGACTTCCTCTAAAAGATAGCTGTTCGTCACCAGAGGAACAAATGTTCCAACAGCCGGCCCTAAAATCATTGCTCATAGCCCAGAGTATCAACGGGTTTATAACGTGCTTGAGGTAAAACATCGCCAAAGTTATGAGTTCTACATACATAAATTCTGTTCTGATAATTATATCGGGTATGAACTCACTCATCAACATTATCACCCCGCGGGGAAGATAACATATTTGAAAAACCACCATGAGCACTATTAACATTCTCACTAGACGCTTTTTCTGTTGGATACGGTCATTGAGGAATTTCCTTTGTGAGCTGTTTGACTTAAAGGATTTGCATCGCACATGAATTTCATCCTTGGCTTTGAGAACACGGATGATATCAAAGTACACTACGCACTGCAGCAGCAGAGGAGAGGTAATGAACAAAACCACGAGATACATCTCGTATGCGATTCGATAACTGTCCTCAGTAAAAACTGGGAAACAGTAGTAATTACCGTCTCCAGCCAGTTGGTTCTTAAGAAAGATTACCATCGGTACACCGGCTGTCACATAACTAGCAAACCAAATCACCAACACTGTAGTCTTTACTCGCTTTAGGGTCATCTTTGGCTTGAACGGAGAGACGATGGCTCGATGTCTTTCCAACGCGATCACGGTATGCGTGATGACGGAGATCACCACGAAGACATCTTGGAGAGGAGTCAAAACATAACACATCACGTCACCAAAGATCCACCCACGAAAAATTTCGATGATCCTCAATGGTGCTGCTAAAACGCAAACTGCAATGTCAGCAAGGCAGATATTGGCGATCAGGAGATTACATGGTGTCTGCATCTCTCGCCAACGGGTCAGAGTCGCCATCACAAAACTGTTCCCAAGAAGACCAGTGGTGATGATTAGCGAGAAGAACAATGTTGTAAGAAGGACGAGAAGAAATGAGTACGGTTGGTCATCTGTGGGCGATAAAGTAGCGTTCGAGGCAACGCCGCTGCCGTTCACTGTTCCATTAAAGCGAAAATCTCCTTCGTAAACGGTTGTATTCATATTTTCCTCTGTGTAGTAAGCCCGGGAGATGCAGTTTTGACTTACCGCAAGATCAGCTGCCTTGACTTTGTCAGATTAAAGTCACTGACTAATTTTTTTGCCGTAGGTGCGTTATATAATGTGTGTTGTTTGATTTAACCTATCCAAATTAATTGCTCTGCCGTCAATGTGAATGAACTTAGTGTTGCGACTGAAGATATTCCTTGGACGTGCGTTGAACAAATGACGTAGGGAATGATTTGTAAAATTGATAAAGATTTCTTTCATTACTTGACATTTAAACTAGAGAAATAAGAGTTCAATAATTAAGGAAACGTTTAAGCTCACTGGTTTAAGTAAATTTGCCAAACATCTCCAAGAAACACTTGAAAGATAGTCAAATTGCCACCACCTCAAGTAAAGGACGGAAAACAAGTCGGCGAATTTCGTTTATTGACTCGCGAAGCTCGAGGCGAAATATTTTTTATTTGGAAAAAATGAAACATTAGCGTGACATGCAAACAAAGATAAATTAATTCAAAACAACTAGGTTTTGTCTTTTAGCACATTTGGTAATTTAATAAAGCTAGAGGTGTTAGCTACATTTCTTGCTAACTTGCGAACAATTTTATTTGACCGATAAAAAGATTTAGTGAATTAATCTTTTCTTATCGCAGGGAAAAACTGTTTGTATATTGGGAAACAGATGTACGCGCTGACTGAAGGAAATGAATATACAAGGTGTATGGTTTTAGATAAGCTAAGCAAATTAGTCTCTCTATTTAAGACGTATAGTTTTCTTAATAGATCAAAATGCCCGGTAAAAGTCTGTTTAATACGTGAGGATGTGCGCTGTTGAAAATGAAACCTTTTTGGGCAAGTGAAACAACGGAAGAAAGACTGAAAATATTGTTTGTAAGAAAGCAAACATCACTGAATTCTGACACGCTGTCAAATGTAGCTTTTTAGATGTATTACTCCAACTTTTACAAAGTTGCCGAACCGCAAAGGACAATCCAATCAAATTTTGCCGGTTCATCAAAAAGGAGTAGTCACTTCCCGTTAGTTTCAATTGGTAAAAATATCTACATTTTAATGTAAAACTTTCCAAATATGATAACTGAGTCAGTAGGAATTAAGGATTTGATCGTATGGGTTGAACTTTCTTTAATTTAAGACCGGCTTAAACAGCTTCTTCCAAATTAACCACAGTGAAAACGCCGGGTAAATCGCAAAATCGCAACTAAGGAGAACTTGTCTCTTTATTAGTCAGGAACCCTGAGTTATATATTTCAAAAACGCTCAAGCTAATAATGGTTTCCAAAGTTTATTAAAATTCAAATCTTCAAAGCGAGCGATAGAGTATGAATAATTTACAACTGGTTCTCTCGTAAACGTAAAAATAAAGATATGGAGAAGCAACTCCGTGCTAGGTCAAGTTCCCTTGTGTTCAATTAAACTGTTAGGAACGAGGGCAATTGCTCGTGGAGTTATTTTTCAGTCTTTAACACCCATATCTTTTATTTATTTCATTTCCGTAAAGCAGCAAGTGTGGAGGAGATTTGAATGCTGCAACTTGTTTCGTAGTTGAACTAGACTAAACATACTGCACTGATAAATTTTAACAGACCTCCAAAAGTTTCGAAAGAGCGACTTAACTCCTAACATTGCATTTGCAAGCAAAAGGCGGTCATGACCAGGAATTCTGTATACAAAAGTGAATTCACTTTCTATCGTTGCAGAGTGTGTTTTCACAATTTTCATTAATTTTGTAGAACTGAGATATGACGGATAACAACCATTGCGTCAAAAACGAAACAAAAATTCTGATTTTAAGAAGATATCAAGTGTAGCTGGCGTTCTTTACTCAGCTGCTAGCGTCAAAACTAAAAAGCTTTAACGTTATTGCGGCATATTTAAGTAGAAAGTGTCTGTTTATTTGTAAAAGGCGTTGTATAATTGCACCTCGAACAGGCCTCAAAGCGGAAATTAAATCACAGCCAGCAGTTCAAAACTATTAAATTAAAATAATTTGAACGAATTCACAGATAGATTGAACTGATCACTTAACTAAAGAATATGAGTGACGAAAATCATGGTTCAAACTACCTTCAATAACCGATTATTTTTTACTACCTAACTGGTTATAAGAATTATTCAAACTTAAAAGCAAATTCGTTATTCATTTACGCTAGGTAATGTAATAACCTGTAGAAATATTTTCAGCAAACAAAATTTCGGCGGTCTTTTTAGTACGTTTATGAATGTCACTTCTCTTAAGTAAATTTTAAGTCCCCTGGGGGTTTTCGACGTGATTCAACGCAAACGCCGCTTTACAGCAGTACGTATTTATATATTTCTGTCTAAAAACAAACGTTTTCGGAAGAGGAAGCCTGCAATTCTACATGATTCCTAATTATTCCGGTGCAAATAATTGTTTTGTAAAAGTCACTTACTGAATACCACCCATACTGACCTAGAAGACTTGTGGCACTCAGGTGAAAAAAGGTCGCATTAGGTTCAACGAAAGGGTTTAATAAGCTTTTGTAATTATCTCCCACGAAAAAGGTCATTATCTTATCTCTCTTTTTCATTGCTTTTAGCATTTATGTTGGGAAGAACAAGTCGTCGAACTCTTCAATTACGTCTGTTCAATCCTACAATGCGAAAGGATAGGGCGAGGAGAGGGAGCCGAGCTTCTCGTGGTTAATTGACATGAGTTGGGGGAAAGGTTTTAAAAATACTGAAAAACTTACTTAAGGTATTGAACTTTATTTTGCACTGAAATTTCTTAAAACTTTATCGCTTATACATGCGTAATAACATAATTCTTTTGTAAATTTCAAGAACGAAACAATCATTTATCAATGCGTGAACGTTTCTAATATATTTAAGTTCGTGTAAATGTTAAAAAATATACTCGTACAATTACGTACATAATGTACGTTTTGGGACTAAAAAAAGATGTTTATGACATGAAACATCTTTCAAGATGACGTCATATGAGTGTTATTTGCTCACGTACAGTTTCCTAAGCGAATTTATTTTTAAAACGTCTTTGCCGGATCTTTTAACGCCCAGAGCATAGTCCAACAAACGAACTGCAATTGAAATCATGTTTCAATGTTTAGTTTCACAGATTAAAAAATGCATTTTTCGGTTGCGATCAATCCTTGAACCGTGATTAATGAGTATAATTGTTTAATAACAAAATTAAAAGAACTTAGCAAATATTCGTTTTAAATCGTTTTTGTGTTGTTGTCAAGTTTTGTTTATTTCCCTGTTAAGCATTTTTTTCTTATCAATACTATTTTTTTTCTTTTGAGAGTCTTTCTAGCCTTTTACATACTTCCAATCATCGTCTTTGGTTAGGCAGTTTTATTTTTCAGACATCGAAACGCGCAATGTGAATAAAAATCCCTGTATCTAGGAAGGTCTATAGTTTTGAGCTGTACAAGGTTGAAGACACAAAACAGGTAAATTTTAAAGAGAATGAGAGAGAACGTAATTCAATAGAGATTCATGTTAGAGCGATTTTCGTATGACCTTGAAAAATGGTTTCGGTAAGTGTTCTCTATTTGTTTTATCAGCCAATGGATGAAAAGATCAAAACATGGCCTCTTCGTTTTCCCGCTAAACAAAACCCTAATATGGAGAGGACATTGTTCGATTGGCCAATCGTGTTGCACTGTGACGTCAAAGCGAAGTATCAGTTTATTTCTAGAAAGTTCTCGGGCATGAAGTTTTTCACTTGAGCGTTTGGATCCGTTCGATAAACCAATCAAATCGCTCTATTTCAGTTCGTTTGTTCTTTCTGTTTTTTTCGCGCGTTTCCATTTCAAGGTCACATGTACCTAAGCCGTTTCACCTATGACACACTCTCATTTTCCTCGTTCCCAGGGTTACTTGTCCATCTCTCCTTCAGAGGACGGATGGGAGAGAACCCTGAGAACGACAAATTTTGCCAGTATCAAAATCATTCGATCAACCCGATTTTGAGTGTATATAATTTGGATTTGGTTTAGACGTAACAACCTGTTCCGAAAAGAGTGTGTGATAACCACGTACCCGGCTTACAAATATTTGTTTCCCACTGTGAAATGGCCTTGAATTGTTATTTTAGCCGCCTTTTCCGGAAATTTAGACGTTTGCGCTTTTATTAAAATCACGGGAAAACGGAGCCTAACAAGGGATTATGTAAAGAAATAAAGAATAGCAAGGAAATGCTTCGGGCAGCTGGTTAAATATTCCTGCGTGCTGGATATTTGATATATTATCACATGATGTTAATTTTGCAATGTTTCATACTGATTTATTTCCAGAAATACAAAAGATTGAGAATTTTTATAGAATGGGCATAGTTACATTTCAGGTTCGAAGAATACGCGAAGAATTTGTCGGGAAAAAAGAACAGGCTCAAAAAGTCGCCAAGACATACTATAATTAGACATTTGGTTATCTTTATTCCAGCTTCTAATTTCCTAATGTTTTAGTCATTATTTTTAAATGTTTCTTGACCTTTTACTGTCCTGGGTGATTTCTGGAGACATGTAAAGTAGTTCTAACTTTTAAAGTTAGTCTGTGCACGAAAGTTCCATGGTGTACATGTGAACATTAAAATCTCCGGCAATATTCCTTTGAGTGCAATCTGTTTCGCGGTATTTTACCAAGCAAGACTTCAACGTTTCATAACTGATTTTGACTTTTGCCTGAGGCTCTTGGAAGAAAAAGAAAGAGAGAGAGAGATGGAACGTTTTTAAGGATGCCTCTTTCACATTGTTCATGCACCTAATAGCAGTAATAGTTCAGTCGTAGGTTCTAGATTTTCGTGACTATAATGTACACTGATTTTGCACCAAGGACGTTTTATCGATATTGGGCTCTGAAAGCATCTATTAGAATTGTGCTGCACTTTTCAAATGAGAACAGCCTTGTCTTTTAAAGGTGAAGAATTTGCGTGAGTAGTCCGGAACAGTTAAATACTTTTACCGTAAGTAAATTGAATATCTATGCTGGGACTG